TTTCCACAGCTCAGAACCAACGCCCTTTCGTGTTTGCTCTCTACCTGAACCCAAGGGAACGGACACTTGGCGTGCCGCCTCTGCGTTGCCTCTTGAGTGGGTCTCACGGGAGGCGATGCAGAATGAACTCACACAGGAGGGTGACAAAACAACCCAGCTGGCTGTAAGGGGATGTACTATGTGAAAAGCACCGGGATGTAGGAATGGATAAGACGTATCTTTTCCTTGAAAACTTATTCTGCTGTGGGGCGGGGCGAGGTCTTGGGCACACAAAGTTATGTTGTTGCTGTTTTGTTGGTCCGTGCTCTCGAGTTAGTGTGCTGACTGATAGCGAACACGTATGTGCAACAGAAAGAGACACTCTCCAGACCCGTGCCATCCTCAGATCGTTGTTATGCTTGTTGCAGCCACAAACAATATAAGGAACATAAATAAAGTGTTGCCATGTTTAGTGCGTGAGTGTGAACTAAAAAAATATGAACGATTCAGACTCCTAGCAACTCCCCAGGACAGAGTAGAACTAACTGCGCCTGCGGGTTTCTGAGACTGGAACTGTTGACAGGAGTAGAAAACCTCACCTTTCTCCTTGCTTTTTTGGACTTAACCCCTGCCGAGGAGTTGATGCCTGTAGGACAGAGCCTGTGAGTTTCTGACACCAACTCTTTTACTGGAGCAGAACCAGGTCTTCTGTGGAGCCGCTGGTAGTTTCAAACTGCTGACCTTGCAGTTAGCAGCTGTGTGTAACCATCGCCACCAGAGTTCCTCTAATTGGACTAGCGTTTATTGTTTAAGATCGTATAAACATTGGTACATCATTCCTGTTACTAGCCACCCACTCTGATCCCTCCTCCAGGCGGGAAATTTTACTTAGCCCAGCCGTTTGAGTTGATGGATGAGGGGGCCAGGCTTCACTCTGAGGTGTGGAGTGATTAAATGGAGATTATTTTCTCCTTTTGTTTAATTTCAGAATTGTCATCTGTTTAAGAATTGTTCCTATCCCAATAATTATTGCCATCAAATTATTTCCCATATCACACGATTCATAATGGCACAGGAGGTATTTATTTTTAAATATTGTATTTATTTGAAGTGAAGGGATACTTGGTGCAACTGGGTAACTTTTGTTGTTCATCTTTGGGATGATGGGTTTTTCTTGGAAGGTATGACATCCTTCCTAGCAGAGTCTTATGGGTGATTTAAAGTTGAACGAGAGTGAGTGCAATTACCAGTACCTGAGTTCTCATGAGGCCACAGGTGTGGGAGGAGCGTGCTTGGATTGGGTCTCCTCAGGCACAATCTAATACTCAAGTGGCACAAATACTGTTGTTTCCAATCACTTGACTGTCACAGTAGGGCGGATTTCTTGTTGCAAGAATGATGCTTTGTTAAGGGGAGTCTTTAGCATTTGATAGCAGGGTTGTTAGGGCCCTGTTCCTTTGTTGAGCTACTGCAGATTTGCCTGACATCTGCACCCAAAAGGAAGAGATCATGGACCTGTGAGGGCCACAGGAGACATCATTAATCATAATATCCTCTGTTTTATAACTTTTCTAAGTTGGAAATTTTTAGAAGCTGCTTGCAATAGGTGGGACAGTAAATTTCTTAAAATCTTTGTATGTTAATGCCAAATTAAGACTTTTTGGGAAAGATACATTTACAAATGCCAGTTACAGTATGGCTATGTTTTCCAGTAGGGTCCCAGGATAATTGTCATGTGAAAAACAGTTTCATCTGCCATGGAAAAGCGGGAGGCATTTGTACAGGCGGTGTCTAAGGAGTGTGCTGAAGACTTTTTGCAGTTTGTTCAGCTTCACGTAAGTTTTATGTTTTGGCTTTCTTGCTACTTTGATTGTTAATATAAAATAATTCCCTAACAATCATTCTTGTCTGTAGGTACCATGGAGCCCGATTTTGACTCATAGCAGCCCCATGTGAAAGACAAGAACTTCCTGGCGGGTTTTCTAGGCTGTAGTGCTTATGAGAGCAGATTGCCAAGCCTTTCTTTCTCTCTGTGGAGCAGATGAGTGGGCCAGCCCTCCCAGCAGGGTCCCAAATAAGTCAGTTATATCTCAGTGAATAATTGCAGGGACCAATATTTTTAATCCCAAACCCAAACAATTCTTTATAATGGAATAGAACTGCTAATGGCAACTACTGACAAATGGTGTACGTATTCTGCTTTCTTTTCAGAGAGGAATTGTAAGGGTGCTAAATGATTTAATGCTATGACGTTTTACTTACTAAACAAATATTTATTGTTCTCTTGCTATGTGAGGAAAACTAATGCTGCTTTTTTGCCTTCAAATTGCTTGCAAACAGGCAATTATAAATACTATGTAGGAGTGCCTACGTGGAGAAAGGCAAAGGGAGGAATAGAAGGAGGAGTAAATCCAATCCTAGAATGCTTTCCTTTCAGAAGCAAAAATGGAGAAGGATGGTTCTAGTCGGAAGGGATGGCTGTAAAGGCTAGATAAAACACCTTGTGTTTAAAGAAGATAAGCAAGTTCAGTATGAGTAGGGTAGAGAATGCAAGAGATGTGACTGGTTGAAGAAGAGGGAGGGAAAAGGTCAAGGAAGATCTTTAGGTTTGTGATTTGGCAGTGTGACACTGAAGGTAGGAAGAGGGTTAGGTTGGAGGGAGAAGGGAGATTTAGGTTTGGATGTGTTGAATGACTGCTGGTGGGAAATCCAAGTAGATGAGGTGCCCAATGGACTTGAAAGAGCCCTGAAATCTGCTTGTAGAAATGAGTACCCAGGCTTCCCTAGACTATTTTCCAATAGAATGAGAGAAAGATCAAAAAAGAGTGACAGAAGAAACAAAAGAATTCAAACTAGGCTGAGAAGAAAGAGGGGAAATTATAAGGGCAGAGTGTGGTTCGGAAGCCATTGGGAGATGATAGCCGGCATGTTATGGTGACGTGGAGGGCGGAGGATGAAATCAAATGGAGGTAATACTATCACAGCAGATGTAGATGTGTGTGGCTCAGAACACATGCTGGTGTTTTAGGTGTGTGTGCAGGTTTGAGTAATCCCTTAGTGCTGGGTGTAGTTTTCTATAGACACGGAGTGCTTCTGGATGAAGCTTCACATAAGTAAATGGGAAATTAGCCTTATGCTGAAATGCTTTAGAATATTGTGTGGAACTACTTTGTATTTTAAAACACGCTTCATAAAACAGAAATGTATCATACCATTAGGTCATGAGTAATAATTTTGAGGATCAGTGACAGATGTGTAGGAGGAAGCAGGACTAAGGAATATTCAATCACTTGAAAATATTTTTTTAGATGTTTTCTATTATATGATGGTAAGTTGAAAACAAAATAAAACCAATCGCTATAAAATCACACAGACCTTTGTCAAACAAAAATGTAAAAATATGAAGCTATTGTTTCTTGACAAAACCTCCATCTAGGTCTATATACTTCTGTAGGTAGTGTCTCCACATCTCTAACCCTTCCTTGAAGAACCCCCCCCTAAAAAAAAAAAAGAAAAGATTTATATAGTGTCAAATGGCAGTTTTACCATTCTTTAGGGATTCAAATTGTATTTCTTTTCCTTGTTCTTAGTTTTGGGAATGTAAAGGAGTCTGAAGGAGCAACATCAGGGCTGTAGAGCATGTGGAGCTAAGGTTTCTAACAAAATTTTCATAGGTCAGCCCGTCATACCCTTGAAGAATGGGTACGTTGTGACAGAAAACAATTCTTTGGTGCAACTTTCCTGGCCTTTTTCTTACCAATGCTGTTTTCAATTCCGCCCCCCTACCAACTTTTCCTAATAAGCCTCTGATTGTCCTTTTTCCTTCAAGAAAGCCCATCTAGGTTGTCCTTGGGAATCCCCCCAAACATCTCTATAACCTTCTGAACTGACCTTTCTACCTCGATCCCCTCAGAAATTATTGTATCAAGTATTTGTACTTATGTTGCCATCATTAATTTCTAAACATTTACTTTCTGATTGAGCCCTTGGCCTTAGCTCCTCCTTTTTTCCTCCCCCCTCCCCTCTACCCTCGTGATTCCATAATAAATTATAAATTATTTTCATACACCTACCGCTGTCTCCCTTCCCCCACGTTTTCTGTTGCTCGTCCCACTGGGGGGAGGGTGTGGCTCTCCCCTCCTCTCTGCACCTTCCCCTGTACCCTCCTGGTATCACTTTTCCCATGTCTCTTCCTGAGGGGGTGATCTGACCTGGATTCTGTGTGTTTTGATCTCTTTTCTGTACCAATGTCCATGCTCCAGACTAGCCTGAAATGAAAGGCAGGACTGGGGTCATGATACTGGGAGGTGAGGAAGCCTCAAGGAGCCAGATGAATATTGTATTTCATTGGTGCTGTACTGCGCCCTGGTTGACTCATCCCTTCCTTGTGACCCTTCTGTGAGGAGATGTCCCATTGTCTACAGATGGGTTTTGGGTCTCTGCTCCAACCTCATTTCTCAACCATATGGTTTTTGTTCATTTGTTTATTTGTTTTGGTTCTTCTGATGCCCATTACCTGATCCCGTTGACACCTCATGATTGTACTGGCTGGTGTGCTTCTTCCATATGGCCTTGTTGCTTCTCTGCTAGATGGTCGCTTGTTTAACTTCAAATCTTTAAGACCCCAGACACTATATCTTTTGATAGCCAGGCACCATCAGCTTTCTTCACATTTGCTTTTTCACCCATTATGTCTTCAGCGATAATGCTGGGAGAGTGAGCAGCACAGAATGGCAGGTTGTTAGAACAAAGAGTTCTTGTGTTGAGGAAGGGCTTGAGCAGAGGCCCACTACCTCAATGTATTGCCATATAAATATTTGTACATAGACCAATACCTCTATTTTTATGAATTAATATAGTTACATAATTGTACACCTATGTTTATACCTCTACCCATAGATTTGCTTCCTAGATCTTTCCTCCGTTTCCTTTTACCTTTCTCCTGCCCCACCATCACACTTGCCCTTCTTCTGCTTCTTGGTAATTCCTCAGCTAGGTTGCTCCAACACCCCTAGGTTTACTATGTCCTCGTTGATTTTAATTCCCTATTTGTTCCTCCGTCTATGGAGTTGTTTGCTCACTGCTCCCTTCCCCTGCGTTTTCCTCCCCCCAGGTCCTCTGGAACCATCAGTCCCTTTACTTTTTCCTCTGGCTTTCTTCCCATGCCTATCTTATATGGGTAGACAAACCAGCAATAACAGAGACAAAACAAAAGTAAAAGAGTGAATAAAAAGAAAAAAAAACCCTAGCAAGAACCCTCGAAAAAGCATACATAATGCCATGTTTGTCTGCTGACCTTTATGACTATCTCCCCACTGGTCCTGGGAACTTCCCCTTCTAGCCTGAAGTCTTTTTTGCAGGGGGGGGGGGGGTTGTTGCTTTGCTACTTACTGATCTGTTATGTTCCCTTCTTGGTTCGCTTCACTGTGGGGGTTCAGACCAGACTCACCCCCCGCTGTGTGTCCCCAACATTGTCCTCTGTCGCGGTGTTCTCCAGCAAGGGACATCATTACTGGAGCTGTTGTCAGCCCTACAGTCCTATTTGTGCTTTTGCAGCTCCGCGTAGGGATGTTGTCCTCAGGGCTCGGTGTGCTGATATGCGGTCTAGACTCTCGCTCTCTCTTTTCCTTCTTGGTTTGCTTCCATGTGGGCGTGGCAGGCCGGCCCCTCTCCCCAACCTATAGATTTAGTGTTGTCCTTTGTAGCACGTACTTCTAGGGAGGGGGTCAGTTTGGCTCTGATTGGAGACAGTGGAATCTTATGTTCTAGTGGTAGAGAAAGATGCATATAGATAAATGTGTAAAATAAAAAAGCAGGGCAAGAGGATGAATATGGCAGAAGGTGGCTATAATTTTTACTGGGCTAGTTAGAAAATATGCCTGAGTAACTAATATGTGTTCACAGACCATAAAGAAAAGAAGGCATGAGTATGGGCCATGTGCAGATTTGTTGGGAGAGAATTCTAGACAGAAGGAATGTGAAAAGACGTTAAAGACCTTGATGTATGTAGGAGCATGCTTTGAAAGCCAAGAGCCTTGGCTTCAAGAGAGAGGAGGAACGGCAGGAGTTATACTTAGAGAAATAGGCAAGGGTTACTTAGGGCCCTGTAGGCCATGATATGGAGTACACGTCCACATAAAACAAAAATCCCCATAACTGGGCCAGTACACAGCATCATGATAGAGAAAGATTGAAGTTGTAGCATATTTAACTTTACTTGGTTCCACAGTTAAGGCCATAGGAATATATTACATTTGGCAAATCTTTTGCAAAATACCTCTTTAAAAGGTTAAAGAATCAGCATGTAACTTTGAGGGCTCGGGTGCGCCTGAGTATGCTGTGGTATTTTCAACTTGCCTAATTTACATGTGAAATCTAGACAATGTCCATCAAGCTTGACCTTTGGAATCCCCCAAAATAGTCTGCAAGACTGAGACAAATGAGTTATGGTGTTGGTGAAGAATAGTGAAAGTACTATGGACTGCCAGAAAAACAAACCAATCTTTCTTGGAAGAAGCACAGCTGTACTGTTTCTTAGAGAAAATAGTGAAACTGTCTCCTGTGTTTTGGACATGTTATGAGGAGTGACTAGTCATTGGAGGGAGACATCATGCTTGGTAGAGTGTTAGTGAGATAGACTCAATGAGACAGCTTGGTACAGTGTCTGTAACAGTGGACTCAAACAGCAATGATTGTGAGGGTGGTACAGGAATGGGCAGTGTTTTGTTATGGGGTACTGTAGGCTCAACATAAGTTGACACCAATTGGACAGCACCCAAGAACAACAGGCCACGATAGGGCTTCGGATTCTGTTCTCTGAAGTTTCCAAGAGAGATAGGAAATAAACCAAGAAAGGCCAGTGCCACAGTGTGTGGAGTGTTTAGTAGTGCCCAATGGGGCTGAGAGGTAAGTGTGGTATGGCTTAAGCATAGCCATTGTGTTTCATTGACTTTGTCAAGGGCGGTTGCTGTGGGGTTGTGAGGTAGAACTCTAACTTCTTGATAAGCTGTAAGAAAGATTAGATAATGGTAGTAACTGGCTTCTAGGAGAGCGATTATAGTTATTTAATTTAATAAAAGGGCTATCAAGTCAATTTCAACTTGTAACAATTCTATAGGACAGAGTGGAACTGCCATTGTGGGTTTCTGAGGCTGTCAATTTTTGCAGGAGCTTTGTACTCATTTTCCTTCTGCAGAGTGGCTGGTGGATTTGAACTGCTGACCTTACAGTTAGAAGCCCTACTATACTATCAGCGCTCCTTGGAAAAGGAGATACTTGAATATAATATTAAATGCTAATATTAAGAGCCATTAGAAGATAAAGAAAAGGAGGCATAATGGAGAGGATAAAGTCCCTGAGAAGGACTGATATGTGCTTAGAAGGGCGAATAAAATTTCAGCAGCAGGATAGGGAAAAACAGGCATTTATATCAATTGAGTTTGATGGCAGGATGCTGATGGAATTCTTGCTCGATGGCTTTTATTTTCTATTTGGGAAGTAACTTTTAAAATAATTTACAACTTGTGGAAAATTGCGGGAAGAATTCAAAGAAATCTTAAGTATACCCTGATTTACTAATTTTTACCGCTTGTTTTATCTTTTGACATTCTTTATAGATGATTTTTTGAGTAATTTGAGAGTTAGTTATCGTTATATGGTCCTTTTATTCTTTAAATTTTCAAAATGAGGGAATTTAGCATGGATATAATACTATTATTTAATCTTTAAACCATATTAAAATTTCTACTGTTGCCCCAATGCCTCTAATAAATACAGTGTGTGTGTGTATATATATGTGTGTGTGTGTATATATATATATATATACACACATATATACATATATATATTTGACAGTTGGAGGATGACTAGGAGGGTGGGGGAGGAAAAGCTAGGATCTGTTCTCATGGTTAAATAATTATTGCTGTTTTTCTTACTATCATTATTTTTTAACTCTAGCATAGTTTTGTAAGCTAAATATAGGCCCCCAGGATAGTAGCTATTTGGATTTTAGAGATGCTTTTGCTCAGGTGAAATTTTCAACTTCAAAGATTATGATACTAGGGAAGAATAGGTGGAAGAGAAATCTACGACTCTTCTGGTAAGTCCTACAAGTTCCCTGTCTATGTAAGGATTTTGTAAACTGCAGCCAAAGTCTTGAACTTGTAACTAAGTTAGCACTTAAATTTTTGTCTTTGGATGTCATTATAAAAAGAATTATTGTTAAGAATCTTTGAGTCAGCTCTGACTCACAGCAAGCAGCCTTATGTACAGAACTGAAACCTTAATTAGGCCTGCACCTTCCATACTATTGTTGCTAAATTTGTATTCAAATGTAACATTTGGTATTTATTTTACAGAAAGATGCTTCTGACCCTTTCAATCTGAATGAATTATTGGATGCATTATCAAGGAAACAGAAAGAAGAACTATGGGAAAGGCTCAAGAATTTATTGACCGATATATTGTTAGAAAGCCCAGTAGATGGGTGGCAGATAGTAGAAATCAAGAGAGAAGATGATATGGAAATAGAACATGATTTGGAAATGGTAGTATTGATATTCAAAAGTAAAATTTATTCATTTTCTTTGAGAAATAGTTTTTTAGTATTTATAATTGAATGTTAAATTATGATGAGGCATTCTCAAATCTTTGAAATTAAAAGATAGGAATTTAAGAAATTAAGTTTTTTTATTGTAGTCTGATCTGTGATTTTTAAAACATTTTATTGAGGGCTTTTACAGCTCTTGTAACAATCCTACCATTAATTGTATCAAGCACATTTGTACATATGTTATTATTTTCTAGACATTTACTTTCTATTGAGCCCCTAGTGTCAGCCACCCCTCCTACCCGCCCCCTTTGTGGCCCCTAGATAAACTATAAATTATTGTTTTTATATCTTACACCGAATGCTGTCTCCCTTCCCCAACAGTTTCTGTTGTTCATGGTGGGTAGGTGGGGGGGTGGTGGTGGTTTGGTTATGTGTCAATCATTGCGATTGGTCCCCCTCCCTCCCCTCCTCGTTCCACCTTCCCCCTGCTCTCCAGGCATCGCATAGCTACGCCCATTACTGTTCCTGGATTCCGTGTCACCTACTTTTCAATCCTACTAATCTCTACTCAATGTTGCTATTCTTTTAGGAAAACTGTGGTACTTTGTATATATTCAACTCTACTGTGTAGAATGAGCTAGAAGCACGGACTGATTATTAAAAATTTAGGAACTTAATTTCAAAAATTGAGTTTAAGTTGGTGATTTTAATTCTTTGATTATCTTCTCCGAATTTATAGAAGAAAAACATTGAAGTAATTCATGCAATTACATCTGTGGTTATTACTTGTATATCAGTAATAAATGAAAATGAGAACTATGAAGCCTTACTAGAATGTGCTACTATATTAAATGGTGAGTTGACTTGGTTTTAATGTAGCATTTTTAGAAGTAGGCCATCTAAATGATACTTGGAAAAGGTACATACTAGATTTCCTGAGGTTTGCTTAACATAGAGACAGAATTGGTATTAAGGCATATTTGTATTCTAGCTCCTTTATTTCAGTTAGAAAAGTCTGTCCTGAATAATTCGTTTTGTTTCTCACTCACTGCCATTGAGCTTATAGTGAGCCTATGATACATGGTAGATCTGCCCCTGTGAGTTTCAGAGACTGTAAGAGGATTAGAAGAAAGCTGGGTCTTTTTCCCCCCACCCCAGGAGTGGCTCTGGTTTTGAACTGCTAACCACTGTGCCACCAGGGCTCCTTAGAGTTTAAGTTTAAGCTTAAATGTTTCAGATGATGTGCATTATTGAGCAGACCTAACATAATTGCTGCTGTTAATGGTTTTCAGTAATTTTTTATTTGATTAGTAGGCTCATGATCAAGAGTTTGTTAAAGGAGAAATATTCTTACTATAAATTCCCCCAAACTCATGATTATTGCAGGATAGTTTCAATTTAACCAAACTTGTGGCATTGAATTGTTTTATAAATAGCATATGAAAATGATATGATATATAATTTTTACTTCTAAGGGAGTTTTTGTGTGTTAAAATTTAAATTATAGTACTTTTCATGTAATTTAACTGTAAAACTGTGTTATTAATTTAGGAAGATCACTAGTCTGAATTTATGAGAAAGTCTTAAAATTTTATATCAAAGTATTTTATAAAGTAATTTTATTTCCAGTAATGACTTTTAAGAATATCTTCCAAGAACAATACCCTTATCCTTCACAACACAAGTTTAATTAGTTTCTTGTGACAGGTTCTTTCATGAAGCTTTTCGTTCTCAGTGTCATTTGTGTTTATATGTCTTTTTATTATATTGATTTATTATGAATTTTTGCTCGGGGG